TCCTAGAACGGGGAAGTCGTGATACCTGAAGGTGAAATGTGAGCTCTGTGGCCTCTGCACCCAGTTTCGGAGTGACAGAGTTTAAGGACATCCTCTTTAGGAAGGGGCGAGGAAAGGGAGTGGCTTTGAGGTACACAGAGGGGCTTGATAAGGCCACCAGGGGAGGCCTCCGCCACCAGCATGGGGCCAGCACCCAGCGTTGGGAAGAGAACATCTCAGGCTGGGCGCAGTGGCTCATGCCTGTCATCCCAGCACTTTGGGAGGCCGAGGTGGGCAGATCACTTGAGGTCAGGAGTTCAAGACCAGCCTGGCCAACATGGTGAATCCCCATCTCCAGTAAAAATACAAAAATTAGCTGGGCATGGTGGCGGGTGCCTGTGATCCCAGCTACTGAGGCTAAGACAGGAAAATCGCTTGAACCCAGGAGGCGGAGGCTGCAGTGATCCCAGATTGCGCCACTGCACGCCAGCCTGGGCAAGAGGAGACTCTATCTCCAAAAAAAAAAAAAAAAGAGGCAAGGCAATTACAGGCGCCCGCCACCACGCCTGGCTAATTTGTGTATTTTTAGTAGAGATGGGGTTTCACCATGTTGGTCAGGCTGGTCTTGAACTCCTCAGCTCAGGTGATCTGCCCGCCTCGGCCTCCCAAAGTGCTGGGATTACAGGCGTGAGCCGCCACACCTGGCCAGAAGGCCACAATTTTAATTGTTAGTTCCCTTATAAGGATTGTGTATTGTGTGACTCACCCACCAGTTCCGGCCTGACACTTAGTAAGTGCTCAGGAAATATTGGAGGTTTTGCGTTTTTTGTGAGGGACTCTCTTGCTGTGTTGCCCAGGCTGGTGAGCAGTGGCTCAGTCTCAGCTCACTGCAGCCTTTGCCTCCTGGGTTCAAGCAATTCTCATGCCTCAGCCCCCTGAGTACCTGGGATTACAGGCATCTGCTACCACACCCAGCTGGTTTTTGCAATTTTAGTAGAGACGGGAGTTTCATCTCATTTCCCAGGCTGGTCTCGAACTCCTGACCTCAGGTGATCTGCCTGCCTCGGCCTCCCAAAGTGCTGGGATTACAGGCATTAGCCACCACGCCCAGCTGATGAAGCTGTTTCAAAATGACGTAGTGGTTGCCTGCTTTCTTCGTTGGGTCAAGTTGGTCTTATCCTTGTAGTGCAGAGTGGAAATCCCACCAGGTGACCTGATTGTGACAAAAAGGGACCCAGAGGCCAAGTCCCAAGCTCACACCAAGGTTCTGGAAAGAGACTCAAAACACAGGCCCTCCGGGGACAGTCCCAGCCAGGAATGGGAAGGAGGCTGAACTTTAACCAATTCTGCTTTGCACCACTGGGCCCGGGAGCCTCGGCACAGGTCAATTTTTATAAAGCAATTGATAGCAAGATGGAATTACATGGCCCTGGGTTCACGGCGGCCCCTCTTAGGAGATTGTGAAGTGTTTGTTAACGACCTTTAGAAGGGAAGATTGGGGACAGGTGTGGTGGCTCACGCCAGTAATCCCAGCACTTTGGGAGGCCGAGGTGGGAGAATCGCTTGAACCTGGGAGGTGGAGTTTGCAATAAGTCGAGATCACACCACTGCACTGCAGCCTGGGTGACAGAGGGAGCCTCCGTCCTAATTCAAAAAAAAAAAAAAGCGTAGACTGGGGGAAGCTAGGGGAAATGGGTGATTCAGGAGTGGTCAGGGCTGAGGTTCCAGCCAAGTTGAACCCAAGATATTTTTTGCAGAAGAAGAATGCCCAGTTCCTCCTGGTTTGGCAAATCAGCCAGAACCTTCCATCTCTTCCTCCATCCTGCTACACACAGCACCCAGAAAGACCCCTGGCTGTGACTAGGGGCTGCTGGCCACATTCCAGGCCACATTCCACAGCCTGCAGACCCTCCTCAGGGGATTTCGTGCCCACCCAGCTAAATCCTGAATCACAGCAGATGGGACCAGGTCCGAGGGGAGGACAGATGGAGCCAGGAGACCTTTCCAACGAGGTCTCCCACACGTTCTGGGTTGGGAATAAAGATGCCCCAAGACTCTCTCACCGGGCAGCGGGGGCAGTGTGCCCAGGATGACAGCACGTCCTCAGGAGGCTGAGGACAGAGGCCAGACCAGGTAGCAGAAGGAGGGAGTAAGTGCACTTGGGCTAAAGCCAGGCTCTGTCCAACCACCTGCGGTCAGGTGACCCAAGGTGTCCCGTCCTCAAAAAAAATAAAACAGCTTCTTGCTTGGTATATTCTCAAAAAACAGCAAAAAAAATAAAAGCTTCATCGGGATGTAATTCACATACCTTACAGTGAGCTCTGGTAAGGTGTACAAATCCATAAGTCAATGGCTTTTGGCATGTTATATTATTTTTTCATTGTAATTCCATATGTACATATATATGTATGTATAACATAAAAGTCACCATTTAGGCCTTTTTTTTTTTTTAGGCTGAGTTTCGTTCTTGTTGCTCACTGCAACCTCCACCTCCCAGGTTCGAGTGATTCTCCTGCCTCAGCCTCCCAATTAGCTGGGATTACAGGTAAAGTAGCTCATTAATAATTTTCCTTTTTTTTTTTTCTTTTGCTCCTTATGTGTATGAGATCATTAATGGTTTTCTACATTACTTACATGTTGAAATAATGCTTTGAATGTATTGGGTGAAATAAAATACATCATTAAAATTAAGTTGGCCAGGTGTGGTGGCTCATGCTGAGATCGCAGCATTGCACTCCAGCCTGGGCAACAAAAGTGAAACTGTCTCAAAAAAAAAAAAAAAAAAGCCTAAATGGGCTGGGTGTGATGACTCACGCCTGTCACCCCAGCACTTTGGGAGGCTGAGGCGGGCAGATCACCTGAGGCTAGGTGTTTGAGACCAGCCTGGCCAACATGGTGAAACTGTGTACTAAAAATACAAAATTTAGCCACTGCACCTGGCCAATTTAATTTTAATGATATATTTTATTTCTACTTCACATCCTTTCTTTCATCCTAAGAAATGACGATTATATGGAAATTGGTCACCATAAACACGTCTCTATGTAGGCACTACATTTTCCGTGGTGTCGGTGACATAGGTTTCTACCAAAACAGTAGTGTTGTGTTTGGTGGGGAAAAAAGTTTTTATTTAGGTCGGGTGTGGTGGTGCACGCCTGTAATCCCAGCACTTTGGGAAGCTGAGGTGTGCAGATCATTTGAGGTCAGGAGTTCAAGACCAGTCTGGCCAACATGGTGAAACCCTGTCTCTACTAAAAACATAAAAATTAGCCGAGCGTGGTGGCAGGCACCTGTAATCCCAGCTACTCAGGAGGCTGAGGCAAGAGAACCACTTGAACCCGGGAGGCAGAGGTTGCAATAAGCCAAGATCACGCCACTGCACTCCAGCTTAGGCAACAGAATGAAACTCTGTCTCAAAAGTAAGTAAGTAAGGCTGGGCGTGGTGGCTCATGCTTGTAATCCCAGCACTTTGGGAGGCCGAGGCGGGTGGATCACGAGGTCAAGAAATCAAGACCATCCTGGTCAACAAGGTGAAACCCCGTCTCTACTAAAAATACAAAAATTAGCTGGGCATGGTGGTGCGTGCTTGTAGTCCCAGCTACTCGGGAGGCTGAGGCCGGAGAATTGCCTGAACCCAGGAGGCAGAGGTTGCGGTGAGCCGAGATCACGCCATTGCACTCCAGCCTGGGCAACAACAGCAAAACTCCTTCTCAAAAAAAAAAAAAAAAAAAAAAAGTAAGTAGGTAAATAAAATTAGCCGGGCATGGTGGTGTGTGCCTGTAGTCTCAGCTACTCCGGAGGCTGAGGTGGGAGGATTGTTTGAGTCTGGGAGGCCAATGCTGTGGTGAACTGAGATCATGTTTTACTGCACTCCAGCCTGGGTGACAGAGGAAGACACTTTGTTATAAATGCATTATTATTTTTTGAGACACTGTGTTATAAATTTATTACTATTATTTTTTGGAGATAGTCTCATTCTGTTACCCAGGCTGGAGCTCATCGATGTGATCTCGGCTCAATTCAAGCGATTCTCCTGCCTCAGCCTCCCGAGTAGCTGGGACTACAGGCACTCACCACCACGCCTGGTTAATTTTTGTATTTTTAGTAGAGACGGAGTTTCGCCACGCCGGCCAGGCTGGTCTCGAACGCCTCACCTCAGATGATCCACCTGCCTTGGCCTCCCAAAGTGCTGGGATTACAGGCATGGGTCCCCCTGACCTGGGCTATACATTTTCTTAAATGTACTGTTCAGATTTTAGATTTACATTTAAAATTGTAAACAGCCCACCCTGGCCTCCAAGCCTCACCCCACCCATCACAAAGCACGGCTGGGGTTCCCTCCTCCTCCTCCGATCGCCCTCTTAGCCTCCTTGAAGGTTTTTCTTTTCAGTCATCCCAGAACCAGTGCCTCCACTCTGTGGGTCCTGGGCTCCCTCCGGTTCCGTGCTGCGCTCCAGGTCTTCGCCACGAGCTTGCTCCTCCCTCGGGTCCCAGGTCCCCCCACTGCCCGCCTGGTCAGCCCCTGCCGCCCGAGTCTTCACACCTGCCCATTGCCCCTCCTATCTTTCCCACCTCTCCCCAAGCCTCGGCCCTTCCCCTAGGATAGGGACAGGGTGTCTGAGGGCCAGAGGGGTTATCTTTGAGTGTTTGTTGATTGAAACACCAAGTGAGCAGACAAGCCTAAACCGGCAGCCCTGAGCACTTCCTTTTACTTGCAAACTGCTCAGGTGTCTCACCACACCAGGCTTTGGCACTGGGTCTTTCCTCATCCAAGGGACACTCTTTCTGTCAACTCCTGCCGTTTCTGGAGAACTCTTACATAACCTGCAAAACCCAATCCCATTGTACCCTTTCCCTGTCAGAGTCATAAATTCAATCCCCAACTCAGGGGCACTGGGGGCATTTATGACAAGCTGTGTCACAAATTATACCAGCTTCTGTCAGGATGCTTGGCCAGGAAGTGGGTGATTGTCCTTAATGACCCTTACTCCTCTCTCCTCTCTTCCCAGCTGTTCTGACCCATGGGCCCCGCCAATCCACGATGGCCGTGGCGCCACTGTCTGGCCGGGCTGCTGTTTCAGCTGCTGGTGGCTGTGTGCTTCTTCTCCTACCTGCGTGTGTACCAGGACGATGCCCCTGGGTCCCTCATGGCAGTGGAACCTGTCACTGGGGCTCCCAATAGGTCCCGCTGCCAGGACAGCACCGAGACCCCCGCCCGCCCCACCCTCCTGATCCTGCTGTGGACGTGGCCTTTTAACAAACCCCTGGCTCTGCCCCGCTGCTCAGAGATGGTGCCCGGCACGGCTGACTGCCACATCACTGCCGACCACGAGGTGTACCCACAGGCAGACGCGGTCATCGTGCACCACTGGGACATCATGTACGACCCCAGGGCGCAGCTCCCGCCCCGCACCAGGCCGCCGGGGCAGCGCTGGGTCTGGTTCAGCATGGAGTCCCCCAGCCACTGCTGGCACCTGCAAGCCCTGGACAGATACTTCAACCTCACCATGTCCTACCGCAGCGACTCCGACATCTTCACACCCTACGGCTGGCTGGAGCCTTGGTCCGGCCAGCCTGCCCACCCACCGCTCAACCTCTCGGCCAAGACCCATCTGGTGGCCTGGGCGGTGTCCAACTGGAATCCACAGTCTGCCAGGGT